TCGCGGCCGTCTGAACCGTGGCGGCATGACAAACAACAACAACAACAACTGCTGCTGCTGCTGCTGCTAACTACCAACTACTTACTACCAACTACTACTACTACTACTACTACTACTACTGCTACTGCTACTGCTACTGCTGCTGCTAACTACCAACTACTTACTACCAACTACTACTACTACTACTACTACTACTACTACTACGACTACTACTCCTACTCCTACTCCTACTCGTACTCCTAGTCCTACTCCTACTGCTACTGCCACTGGTACTGCTACTACCGCACCCCCCGCCTGCTACTCCTACTCCTCCTCCTACCCCCACCCCTACCCCTACGGCTATACTCCCAGTGCTAGCGCTACTGCTGCTGCTCTACTGCTGCCGCCACTACTGAATACTACAAGGGATGATTCCATACGTGAGTTTGGCCTGGCAAATTTTATGACTCAGGCATGCGGACGCCTTTCTTGCCAACCACTCCAGCAACGACATTGCCTGTGTGGATGCCGGCTCCTTCGTTAGGCACGCTTTGCGTCTGAGGAGGTGAACACATTGACATCAACACAAACGCACACCCACAGAGAGACGCACGGACGCACAGTCACACACAGACTCTCACACACAGACACACACACACACGCACACACACACACAAATACACAGACACACAAACATGCAGACACACAGCCACACTGACACACACACACACACCTACCTACACCTACACACCTGCCTGGCAGAAGTGATAATCGACATCCAGCAAGGAGCTACACGAACTAGCGGCGACACTGCTGCATGAACATGTCTAGAGAGAGACTGATGCGCTGCATGGTTAGTATGGCCGAGTGGCTCATCAGCACGGAGCTGTCATCAAACACCGTGGGGACCACACGCTGCATCGCGAGGGCAACCTGCGTGCGAGGTAAAGCGAAAACCGCGACGGAATGTTGGCTTGATGGCTAGTACAGCTTCATCTCAGGCTGTGCATATAATGTACGTTTTAATGTTGCTTGCTCGTCGCATGGATGCCGTACTGAATTTGATTTCAGCTACGGTGCTGTGGGTCGATCATGGGCTCTAGCACGGCACCGAAACCGACCAAGAAAAACTTAGACCTAGATCATCCTAGATCATTAGTCGCAAACGTCGAGCTCCTCCACTGCTCGCATAGCAAACTCGTCGGGGAAGTTCGACTCCTCCTTTAGCGGCACTTTGATGGTCTATCTGGGAGTTCCCCACTTGGGATCGCTTGGGAGTCTGAACATGACCCTTCTGCCGCGCAACAAGGACAATTCCATTTCTGTGATTTCGGATCCCAACAGTGCGGAAAATGAGGCATCATGGAGCCACGCATCAGCGCACCTCCCTTGCGGGGCAACCCGATGAGATAAAGTAGGCGTCTCCAATGACTTCCTGATGGTTGACATCCATGGCGCCATGGGGCAAATTCACTGTCGTCAGAGAGCACAAGATTCGGAGTAACCTGTGACACATAGTGGAATGCTGGGGGCTTGCGGGCGAGTCTCCACTTTGTACAGGCCCCACTCCAGTATGACTTCGTCAAATGCAGAGTAGAGCAGGTTCAACAACTCCACCAGTTCCGTTGGAGTGATGCCTGGCCGAATGTCCACATTCTCATGGCAGAGGTTTACCAGCAGCAAACCCCAACTGCTGCACAGCCGCGGGAGCAAAAGGCCGTGAAGCCTTTCAGATCCTGGGGCTAACAAGGACTTGCTTAAATATGCTGAAAACATTCGGATCTGTCATGATGCATTGTGATTGATCCAAGCTTCTGTGAACACAATGGTGACGTCTGGAAAGTCTTCTGCAATCGGTGATACGTTGTCCTCAATCGTGCGATTCCCGACAGTCAGGGCCATGCAGCGCACTTGGCACTATGAATCCTGTGACTGCTTGATCACGCGCTGAACTCTACGGCATTGCGCTGAATGTGACCAGCAAGATCCAGCTGCCGGAAGGCTTCCACTGCAGAACTTGATTTCAGCAACCGACTGTCTTCCACTTCTATGGAAACGTGGTCTTTGCAATGCTGCCCGAGTGCATTTACCAACTCGACAACATGAGGAGGCAGAATCTTGGCCAACAGGCTCTGGCTTCCCAGCTTCGTGTCCTGAGGGAGTGCCAAGAACTGAAAGTCTTTCTTCTCTCCACTCGAAAGCAACTGTCATCAGTCTTCTCTGTGGTTTCGGACTGCTGCTGAGGTTGCCTAGCATTATTCAGAAAACGATTCTGACCAGTCCTCAGCATTCCCAGAAAGGTGGCAGCTTGGGGTGGGGCGAAACTGAGAAGGCACCACAGGCACCGTCGGCGGCGAGGGCTTTTGGCAGCGTTACGTCTCCAGTCAGCGCTTTTAATGTTAAGCATCAGTCAAGCTGCAGAGATTTCCCGAATGCGTCTCTGCACGTGCCGCTTGTAGAAGTCCGCCTTATTTCGCATCACAAAGCAGACCGACGTTCCATCCTACGAAGAGGATATGTTTGAACGGAAAGTCGAGGCCTCAACAACAGGAGTGACTATGAGTGACTTGACCAAGCTGCACAGTGGTCGAGGTGCTCCTGCATCCTGCAGACAAGGATCAACTAGAGACTAAACATGGAGCTCTTTATCCCTGCCTGATGCCAGCTGCTGTCAGCAGGAAGACCGCACCAGTGTAACCTGAAGCACTTTATCATCATTCAGGCTTCGATCGAAAATAGCAAATGTGCTGGAATGTGAACGAGGCTTCGGCTTACATACTCCGCAGCACGCTGACGTACTTGCCAATCGCATTGCCTGAGCTCAGCCCACATTTTAGACAGCGAGGAGAGACACCTTCAAGGCAAGGCCAGGACTGGCAGCCACGGCACACGTTGTCGACTAAGGCCCAGGTCACCAATGAGAGGAAACAGAGGAGCACCCGGACAGTAAACGGGCAGGTCTTACCTCGGTATCGATGTCAGAAATGAAGTTACCTCTTCGGGTGTTGCGTTTGGCACAGATGCAGATGCTACATACATAGCGAAGGTTACACAGACAGCACTACTTGTCTCTCTGCTGATGAGATGCTGAACAGTACGTACAGACCATACATCATGTAGAACGAGGGTTCCTGAGCAGGAGCCGCACGAAAGGAACAAGGTATCATGACAGCTGAGTCAGATGCGAGGGCTCGCTGCCTCCCATACGGATGTACGCTGCTGGAGCAGACATGCTGCAGGCAAGCATCATTGTTGTAAATCAAGACATTCAGGACCTCTATGGAAGCACCTTGAAGTGCCAGCATCACCACTGTGATGAGCTTGCCACGCCGATGAAAGCGGTCTTTGTCCTGGCACTGCCCAGGCGTCTGCTGACCGTAATGAGAACTAAAAAATGCTAGTATTGCGGCGCTCTGTCGGAAGTGCTCTGTAAGTTTTCTTGGAATTACAGCAAATGGAAATGTTTGCATCTGCTTTGCTTTCGACAGAGCGGGTAGCGCAGGGTTGGGCTGTGGTTTAGCTTGCTTGTGTTGGAAGTTGGAAGTACGCCGCCAAACCATCGAACCTATGGCAATAAACAAGAACCTCGTGCTGGTTAAAGCCGGGGCTTCCATGAGGAGACAGAGGTGAACCCAGCCAATGACTTGGATTCCCCAAGTTCTCACCATCACGCCCAAACGATAGCGCTCCCAGTCACCTCAGCTCTTTGACCTCCCTTGGTAATCTAAACCTACTACAACGAGCGCTACATTATCTATACAGAGACTGCTTCGTGAATGCATGCGTACATACACGTGGGCATGCACATACATTATACATACTTGTACATCTACATATACATCTGCATATACATCAACACCTGCATCCATCTGCATCTACAGCTACTGCATATGCGTATATATATATATGTATACACCGGTACATATACATAGACATATGCATGTTACATGCATATATGTACACACAGCCACGTTTACATATGTGAGTCAATATAATATGTATATGTATGTATGCAGGTGTGTGTGTATATATATATATGTATGTATGTATGTATGTATGTATGTATGTATGTATGTATGTATGTATGTGCGTGTATGTATGTATATATGTATATATATATATATATATCTGTGTACGCACGTATGCATGCATATGTACTTATGTGAGTATCTATATATATCTATATATACACACACATTTACACAATATGATATGTGAGTGTGTGTGTATATGTATAGGTACACACGGTCATACTGAAGAGTGTATCCCACGATCTGACCAGCACGGTGCTTCTGCGGGCAAAGACAACGAGAAAACGAATCTCATGTCTTCTTTGCTGAAAGCCTGAGTTGCTAGAAGTTTCTAAAAAATCCGAGTACGAGCATTTCCAGCTTTTCAAGTCTTTAGCTTTTTCTAGCTTCTTCTGTTTGTTCTTGCTTTTGATAGCTTTGTCTGGGCTTTCATTGCAGACTGGAAACTGAGATCGGGAGGCCCCCAAACAACCAACGTCCTTCTCTTTGTGAAAAGTGAAGGTGAGTACTAGAGTGAAGGTGAGTACTAGGATGTATTGAGGCAATATTGATGGAATGCTTAGCACGTCGTTTAGAGGTGTTCATAGCTTAACTTTATTTAGTGTTTTCCTAGCTTGGCTTAGATTTCCTGGGAAACCCGACGTTTCGTGGATCTTTCCTCAGCTCGCAAAGGCTACTAGCCATGCTAGTGACTAGCGTGATTGATACCCAATAGTTTTTGCCATCTGCAAGTTGTATTCCGGCCCAAGGGGCGAGAACCAATGTCAAAGGCATAGTCCAGAGTCCCTGCCGCTGCGATCAAGACGTGCCATGCAATGATCAGTGTTCGCGCGAAGAAGATTCGGCGATCCTGCAGGCTTTGGACATCCTCCTTGTATTCACTTGCATTCACTCGCTCCACCCAGACCCAGTGGGTTGGGGGGACCAAAAGCTGATTAAAACAACAACTTGACCTGACCTGTGACCTAGTAAGACATGGCATAGGCATAGCAGCAGATGTCCAGGGAGCTCTGCTTGAATTCGTACTTGTCTGCTCGCAAAGTCTGAAGCATCTCTGGCGATTTGGAGGAATCCGGCACCATGAGAAGCTTCATATCCAGCCAGTCGTACCTAGGGAATGGCAAGCTGGCACTCTCGGATCGGACTGGACCAGCGGATTACAGTAGATTCTTGCAAGCACTGCATTGCTCACCGCAGTTTCGGGATGCTGACATCCGCCACGGCACCACTTCGAAGACCGCACAGAGAAGTTACTGAGGGGCTTGGTCTGGTGCATTTGGGTAAAGCCGGCGAGAAAGTCCTGGCAGGTTGGTGCTCGACGCATCGGGTGAAGAGCTCGTCAACAGAAGGGCTGAAGAAGGCTGGCTCCGCCTGGCTGTGCTGTGGCATGGTCGCCATCAGCTCCTTCAAAGCATTGCCTGCAGCTCTTCGAAGCAGCCTCTTTCCTGCGCAAAGCGGGTGCTGTCTTCATGCAGTGACTCTGCATATCTGACATGTGACATGTTTTTGTGCGTTTACCGAAAACTCGCGAGTCCTGGCACCACTGCTAGCGACTTGCTTTCTTCACCTCCCTCTGAGAACTGAACCTTGACAGTTTATGGCAGTGTCCTACGAAGGTTGCAGCTTACGGCAGACGGGACTGCTGCAGAACTGGCACATGAGTCCATGCCTCAAGAGCTTGAGAAGAGGGCAGACAAAGCAAGCAGAGTCGAGAGAGCTCGGTCGCTGTGGGGTGCATGCTCGGCATCATGGACACGAACACATAAATTGCCATGAAGCTTGACACCTACAAGATGATAGCACGGTTCTGCAACACACTGGCCCACATACAGATACAACCTTGTCGTAGTGCCTTGACCGACCTCATTGAGCTCCGGAATGGCCCTGCATAAACAATAACTCGGCAATCTACGAGCAGCTCGTGGTAGCTTAGCTACTTGCTGAGGTATCAGACTTGAAAATGCTACGTAGATGCGCTCGGCCGCGTATGGACAAAAAGCAAGTTGCCGTGGAGGGTTCACAGATGGACCTTAAGGGTGGGGGCCCCCGCATCTTACTGCCCCTGAATCAATCATTTGCGTGGTGTGTGCGACCTCCTTTAGCTAGTGAAAGGACCATTGTATAAGGCATAGAAGGTCCTGAAGACGCTCTGGACCTGGGTCACTACTACTAGTGAATTTGTAAATGACAACTCGGGTAAGCTCCACAAGAGCTAGCTTTCGTGACTTCTGGCTGCCAGCCGCGGCACTCTGTGGGCCTTTTGCCCCACCCGAATGGTCACTGAGTCCTCGCCCAAGATGTCTGCTTGCACTGATTTGCACTCCATGTTCAAAGTTCAATCCGACAAATAATCAAGCTCTTCTTTCATCTCGCCATATCGCACCTGCATCTTGTGCGATGATATCGTCAAACTCTGGGATTGCTCCATGACATTGTACCCGCGCAAGAAGTGCGTCCTGGCCCGCAGAGTGACAGGGTGCGGTTGTGACAGACGGAGGGGCAACATGCAGAACTACGCATAGCCACGCTTGTGCACATCCGCATCCTCAGCGTGCCTTTTCCTTTCACTTCGATCTCGCCACGCGCCTGCAGTGTCCGGAGGCTTGCAGGCGGCTCTGGCTTCAAAGCTCTGCTAAACTACATGGCCCACCATGATAACCGACAGCATTCCACTGCCTCCGTGTAGAAGGTGTCGCTCAACCTGGCTTGTGTGGCCTCCGTGATCTGGGTGCATCCTGCACGGCTTGCAAACCTTGCGAAGTTCCAGCAGATTCCAGCATAGAGGATAAGCAACAAATCCACCATGCTAGTTCTGCAAGCAACGTCATGCTGATTCCCAGTGCTTTTCTCCCTGAATCCTAACGTGGCGCCAAGCGAGTCCTGGCTCGGAAGTGCTCTCCATCCGACTTGCCGTGTTCACGGTGTCCCCGAAAAGCTTGTATCGAGGTTTGTCCAAACCAACCACTCCTTCCATCATCGGCAATGCTAGATAGGACATCCTAGAAGGATCAGCCACGCCAGGTGCCTGCCCGAATCTTGCCGCTGTTCAGCCCGATTCGAATGTTGAGCTCCTCTCCATCGCAGTCTGTGGAAAAAACGGAAATCAGCACATATCGCAATAGATGCCAGGAAAGCATCGAGTTGTCAGACAGAGCATGTTACAAAAGCTGAGCAGGCTAAGACTCTGCACACCTCCCGCTGCAACCGGCGGTCCAGCGACTGATCGCCAAGGATGGTGGAGAGCCGCTTGCCACCAACACCCTCGTCAAAGGATAAATATGCCGCATGCCGAACTCAATCTGGCTCTTGCACGGGTACTCTTACATATGGGCTTCATGAAATTTTGCACTTTGCAGTATTCGATATGGCACAACGCGCGCAAACCAGGACATACCCTTCAAGAACTCCAGCAAGATAAAGCTGCAGACCGCAACAGCAGCACCCAGTTTGCTCGTGAGATTTTATGCAACAATACACAGTGGCCGTGGCTCATGCAGATTTGCGCAAGCTTGCTCGTTTTGCCTGCGGCGCCATGACATCGGAGGCACGCATCCTGAACAAACTGCATTCCAGCTTGCCACACGACAGCTTAGGAAACCATGCCCAGAGAAGTCATTCTAACCACACTTGCCTCACGATGCTGGACTGTGCGGCAATGGCGAAGTGAGCTGCAACATCTGCATGGTTTGCCTCGTTTGGCATCGAACCAGAACTGTTGCTTCGGTCTCTCTGACAGACGAATCATATCAATTGTTGTCGACAAAGATGAAAGAGTCTGCAAACGCCTATGTTTGCCACGCAGGTGAGGGCTGGACGATTGGCTGCGGGCACCCAGCAACTGCCATGTACACATCGCCAACGGTCTCCACCTACACCGTTTTGAAAGTTCGCTAGAACCTCTTCCAGATGCCCAATCGTTGCTTCTGGCTTCATGCTCGAATCTCTCCAGCTGGCCGCAGGCCAGATCCATGGCATGTGCCGATCATGCTTGCCAGCATCACCATCTGAACCAGAGTAGTCACTACCACCGTCAGCGTCGTCGTCATGTGCCGTCATCAGCTGCATCGGGAGCATCAGAATCTTTAGCATTAAATTCAACATGGACCGCATGACACCCGTCATCACCATACATCACCATACTCGTCGTGCTCCTCCTCCTCCTCATCCAAATCATCGAGTGCAAATCACCAAACTTGCCGAACTTAGCTCTGCAAGAAAGGGCTGTCGAGCCAGCCGAGCGAGGCCTTGTGCACTTTCAGCAAGTCGCTGAGACGATCTAATTCCTGGAAAACCTGCTCATGGGCGGCAGAAACCAGGAAACAGTGCGGGAGTTGCCACTTTGCCGGTTCATCTAGGAAGTGGGCCTTATCCAACATTTGCACGGTCGTCTTCGGTGGCAGCAAGGAGCAGATCGTCGAAAAGTCACACACTTGAACAAAAATCACCTTGCAACAAGTACTTCATGCTCACCGTGGCTGCTGACATGCCGACTGACTCCGGCCGGAATCTTGAGTGAAGTTACTGCAGCACATGTTGATCCGAGCTTCGGTGACATCATCAAAGTCCTGGCAGTCCACTGGCTCGTGGGCTTTAAGCGAATCGATGATGGCCTGCAATTGCACCAAACATGACTTCGATGGTGCAACATACTCAAGGAGTTGAGGATCTCTGTCCCCGCCTGTGGCAGCAAACTTTGCAGAAGGTGCTCGCTCTTTCGCATCTCCTGATCTAGCTTCTGACCTTTGCCGAAAACTCCCAACAGCAGGGCAGCCGGTGAAGTCGTTGCTCTGCTCGCATTGAGAACACTGGCTGCACACTTGACACAAAGTCAACTTAGCTTCCTTTGCTAGCCTTCGACCGAAGCACGTTGTGCCCGCAGCTGGTCACGGAGTAGCAGGTCCAGACGCATCGACTCGTCACGCCATATGGCCAAAGCAAACCTGATAAGACTGACTTCCGAGACAAAAGCGAATCTCTCTTTATGGCAAAAAGCCACTTCATGCAGTCGAGCTGCTGGCAAATGCACACAAGAGGTGGTAGGAGAACGTCGCGGAAGACCGTGGCTCTGACTCCAGCTTGTTCATCACATCCATGCTGCGAGGAGGCCGAGGAGGGACAAAAAGCATAGAGAATACGCTTGAAGTGCTTAAGACTTAAGGCATGTTCACCCTGCAATGCGCATCTTACCAACGACAAAATCGTCCATCAGATCCATCACCCTTCGAAACCTCCCCTGGTGCTGCGCTGTCATATCGGACATGATCTAGCAGGTGCCTGATCCAGCGAAATTTCAAATTCTGGAAACAACCTCAGGTCCAAGAGTACAAGCAAGGCTCTCCTGGAGCGATCACTCCATGCCTGCTCTTCTGGGATCGCGACACGAGAAAAATGTAGGTAGGTATGCCACAGATGGCCGTCACTAGGAAGATCTCAAGAACCCCCAGCGGACTGAAGTTGTTGACCTCAGTGCCCGATCTGACCGGAGAGGGAGCTCCAGACCAGTTGCGTCACTCAAAACTTCTGCCACCAGGCTGCAAAAGCTGTGTGCAGCATCAGCAAGCCCGAGGTGGAGAGCGATCTGTCCCACTCTGCGAAGGAAACAGCTACACCTCGAATCTCGAAGCAAATCGAAGCAACATAGTGCTCGAATTGTTGAAAAACTGCCAGCCAGCCCTGCTCAACCCTCTACTGTCGATTTCTGATCTGAGGAAACATCGTCTGCTGCAGGCTAGTCTAAAATACAATGAAGACGCGGCAAGGCAGAGAGACCTCGTAAACATAATCATGCCACATTTGGGGTATCATAAGGACCGGTGAGATGTTTATGCTTGATGATTGTGTAATCTTTTCGGCCCCTACGCACGAGATCATGCAGATCGCAGCAGATGAGGTCAGTCGCGGTAGGTCCCGGAAAGAACGTTTCGAGTGCACCGAGATCACAGCCGAGGCCCGGACTCTGCAAGCAGAGCGTTAGCACCAGCAAGGGCCTGATGCTCAACACAGCTACAGATTGGGTTTGGGGGGTCCCATGTGCAACGCTCAAGGGGACGGCCTACAGTCCGACAAGCGCTGCCAGACGGAAAGGCATTGCCATGTGATGAGGCCTGGCTGCACGGCATGTCCCGTGAACGAGGATGCCGCTGTAGAGGCACAGTCGCAAGGCAGGGCCGGACAACTGTAACTTACACTTGGGCATGCATCGGCTGAAGCATCTACAAATTGCAGCTCGGAGACTGTACACCACGTAGAGGGGCAGAATGAACCTGAGCGAGTCTAGCGGAGAACCACTCTCACAAAATAGTCCATTATCCCGCTTTTCCAAGATAGCCGTCGTGTTAGTAGTACTCATAAACATACTGGTGGCAGTGGGTAGTGGTAGTAGTAGTAGTACTAATAATTACAATATAGTAGGGCGTCCACAGGGCCTGTGATAGCGCAGGACAGCAGGGCCTATGGACAGGGCCTGGGGCGGACAAGGCCTGTTGGAGGTGCATAGGGTCTGTCATAGGCTTGTGGGTAGGAGTGTGCAGCCCCTGTCGACATGGTCGGTAGCAGGAATCAACAGGGCCTGCACACACAGGCCCTGGTCAACAGGGCCTGTCGTCGGCCTGTGGAGAGGCGAATACGGAACCTGTGTGGACACAGGGGGCGCATAGGCCCTATCATAGGGCTGTGGCCAGGGGTGTACAGAGCCTGCCATAGGGCCTGTGATAGCCTATGCCTCGGGGGTTCTTTACCAAATATTAGAAAATAATTGTGTCTGCAATAATATCAGACAATACAATATACTATAATATGATATAATTTCATCTAATATTATATACAGTATAGTATATAGTGTGTATATATATAGCACAATATAATATAGAGTGTATATATTTATTTACTTATTTATTTACATATTTATTTATTATAGTATCTATAAATAGATCAACAAATATATGTGTATATATATATGTATATATTATCTATCTATCTATCTACCTATCTATCGATCTATCTATCTTATATATATACATATAACATATAGACAATATATATATATATACTGTCTGTATATATGTATTATGATTTTTCTGTGTGAGCATGAACATTATATGAACATTGGCTTCTTACTACCAGGGATACTGCTCCACTAGTGGGCGTGACCCTGAGGCAGCCAAGTGGCCCAAGCAGCAAGGCAGTTCGGACCCACTGTTCTTGCCAGATGGCCACAACCGCCAGCACGGTAGAAATTCCGGCCATGATTGCGCTGGAGCGGCAGAAAGCAGATCCTCACCAGGGTCGAGTCGACGGTGTGTTTGGAGCACCACTGCTCATTACCCTACTAACCACCGGTGTCAACACTTCCACAGGGAGCAAATGAGTAGCTCTTTGTGGAAACAGGTCAATCGAGCCGGACACCACCTGCCAAATGATAGTGCTACATCCTTCGACCCGTCTGCTCGCGGCCAGGACTCGGAACACTTCAAACTTGGAGGTGCCAAATCCTGAGAAATTCGACATCATTCGACATCCTGCTACTCAAGACTGGCGATCACAGCATCCTTGATTGAGAGTAAACGTTGAACTTTTGCGCTAGGGCAACGGCTCTTCTCCATCGCGCTATCAGAGCCTGGTCTGGACCTCCACTTGTACCGTGGGACGAAGAAGAAAGTCCTCGACCAGTCGAGAAGTTTCATGCGCGTGTTCGACGCCTGTCTTTACGGAAGTTGCCAATCAGGAAGACATGGACTCAACAGACAAGGGACCTTTGGACTATGACATCTTCCAGGTCTTCGCCGATGCTGTGCCCATGCACCTTTCGACAATTGCAATCAGCACAATCAACACTTTGACCAGCCATGCGCTTCTGATCCTTTTGACCCGACATGGCCAAGCTCGGCACAGAATGCGAACTGATCCATGCTTTTTGATAACCTCGGTCTGAGCTGGTGCTAAATCTGCTAGAACGAAGGCCATCACGTGTCCATTGAATTCAAAGCAACTCAAGTCTGCCAAGGAGGCCAGAGCAATCTGAAAAGAAGCGTCCTGTTGCAATCCGCCATGATGCTGTGTGTGTGTGTGCGCATGCATGTATCCCTCTGTCTATATACAGAGATACACAACTACGGGTAACATGCTCTACTATACGTCCATCCGTCTATCTATCCATACCAATCCATCTCTCTACTGATCCATCTACCTGCCACACACACAGAGGGTTCGACGTAGGCGGCCTCGACAGAAGGAGGCAGTGGTTCATCCTCCATTATCGGAGCAATCCTATGCATCGAAGGCCCGCATCACGTGAGGCAGCGATGGAAACAACTTGCGTTGACCTGTGTGAGCTTGTGTTGCTATTGGGTGCACTTACGGCCACGCCCGCAGCAGAAGCCTTTGTCGCGAGCATGATGCTCAAGGACGTGATTTTCTCGATTCGCGAGCTTGTCTTGCAACTTTGCTCTGGTCCAGTCTTGTGTATAAAACTCTGAGGTGGCGCTCGCATGCTCATGAGTTTGGTGTAGAACAGCTGCGGCCAAGATAGGCTGTCACACAAACATGATGCCTGACTTGCTCGAGACGAAGCATCTATTGAATCGACAGAAGATTACAATGAGTTTGCTGCAGGGTGCCTTATCCACACGTTCACAGCTTCATCCGGGCCAGCCCTTGCCTGCTTGATGCCCGGTGTGAGGAGATAAGGCTCTGCGGCGCCACTCACAAGCTGAGCTGACAGGGTTGCCTCACAGCAAAGCCACTACGGCGAAGCCGTCAAAGCATAAGTCTGGCATGGCAAAGAAAAGCATGAAACTGATGGTATATTGCGGCTGCGAAGTAATAATGCGGATGCAAACATGGGCCTTAAAAGGCGTGGCCAATAGCAGCCCCAAGTCGGTTTCGAGCGTCCAAATATCATCCTTTGCGTCCGGCACAATGGCTTTGCGGAAGTCCTCAGGTGACAACGGATGGGTAGGCTCCAGCTTTGAACAGGCTCCTCCAGCGTTCGGACAACTCTGCCATTCACCTCTCATTTTGGAAACACATCAGGACGCTTCGCAAGATCTGGCAGATTGTGACGACGGCACTGTCTGGCGATGTGCAGGCGACGGGGCATCAAGCGTGTCTTTATCTGCGCACGAGCACGAGTCACTGAGCTCAGACCGGGAGCTTGCAGAAAACTTCACCTCAACAAACATCAAGGTTCGGATGACGCAGTGGCCCGTCTGACTACATGGAGTCGGCTGGTAATGGCCCAGTATGTATGCCCACGCAACCGTCCTGCAAGAACCAGATCCAGGGTCTAGAGACAAAGAGTCAGTACGATTGGGAGAAAACTCATCGGTGTGGCAAGGCGTGTCAGATCCCAACGAAGATTTTACTTTGCCAACAAAGCGCTGCCCAGCACAAGGGTGTGGTACTGGGCGGAGCTGGAGGGCGAAGCTGCGCAGAAGCGAAGGCCGCCGTAAGCCGTCTGGTCCTCACAAGCGTTGCATCGTCACCGACGACATTCCAGGGTCAATGAGGTCTGATCTGATGCAATTGTGTTTCAGTATGGCCTTCCCTCTGGGCGCCAGCTGATTGGGGGTAAGCCCCTGCCATTCTGACTTTCCAGTGACTCAACCGAAGTGCTTGACTTTCCTGACTTTCGAGCGACGGGAAGAAGTCTCCACCGGTATCTGTTGACTTTCCCTGGCTGACGTTCAGGACTTGAAGGATGATTCCACAAATGAAACCAGGCTCTACACGAAGTGTAGACATATCTATTGCATACGTGACATTAACACCTGTGCATATATTGGCATATTTCGCTGTAGTACATTGTGCTATAACATGTCTGTAAGCGCACACACATATATACATATGTATCTATATATAAAATATATCTATATATATATATATGGAAAAAGAAAAGGAATAGCAAGCGATCGAGAAATACAGATGTAGATATAGATACAGATAGATAGATGGATCGATACATAGGTACATAGATAGATAGATAGATAGATAGATAGATAGACAGACATGTAAAAAAAACAGACAGATAGATTTATATCATATTATATAAGGTTACATTATACCATAACATAAGTATTATAGTATGTTCTGATGTATTACAAAAGATCATAGTATAGTATATTCTAGTTTCATAATATATCATAATGTCTTACCATTTGTTAAAGCATAACATCAATATACCCATATATTATAATATGTTACAATAAAGTATAATATATTATGGTATATTCTGATATATTGGTCATATGATGTTACATCAAGTTATATTATATTTAATTATGTTGTGTAAATGTGCTGTATATGATGTTACAGACATGTTCAATGTATGTCTAAATTGTTCTGATTATAATCGACCTGCGCAAATAATTAGTCCGTGCTTGTCAACCATGGGAACACGCGTCTCCTGCGTAACCACGGGCATCGACCCAGCGGCAAGCACCTTAAAGCATTCGACGGTCGACAGAGCCGTCGCATCGATCACCCTTCGCATGAGAAAAGATCTGATTGCAGCTGTCAGGTGCAGTGGTTTTGCCGGTGGCTCTGTTCCAACTGACCTTCTGGTACAAGACTGCAATCAATGAACCAAATTGACAACACATGAACGGGTCAAACGACTGCATGCAGCCGTATCATGGACCTCCCGCCTCCACGGCCTCTGGTGCTTGGCACCGCCGCCCCGGTCGTCGGTACCCGGTGCAGCGCAGCTCGCCAGGCTCGCTCCCCGAGATCTCCGGGCGCTCCAGAGCCGCGTACAGGCTTGTCGCGTAGTTGACTGCAAAGGCCTCTGCCAAAGAGCGGCTGTCCCCAGCAGGGGCCGCAGAGCGGCCTGGTGGAAGCTTAAGTCACTTGAAGACCTTGTCCGATGCCTTATCTTATCTCATCTCACTGAGAAAAAGCTTTGTGCATCTTTACGCAAAGCGACGCAAATTCTGGGAGCCTTGCCTTGCCGATCGAGACCGACACCACGCTGAAGGGCTGCTGCGACAGATTGCTCAATGTCGTCGATGGCCTCAGAAGCAAGCTCCAACCGGCTCGTCCCCGAAGACCGTACCTCTTTCCTCAGTCCGAGTCGCGCAGGCAGCATCCGGCCAAGCCTCTACCAAGTTGCAGACCTTATGCCAGTGGCAGAGAAAGCTGGGATCCCTGGACCTCTGTGAACTATAAGCTATGCAGCCATATGCAGAACCTGTGCACCTCAAATCCAGAGGTCCAACCCGTCGCCAAGCATCCGGTCCATCAAAGCCATGCTGGGCACACTGTTGCAGTTGAGCCCTCCTTGTCTCGTGGCAGCCACAAGACCAAGCACTAACAGCACTAACAGAGACGACACATTGCGGCCAAAGCTTCAAAGTAGTCTCATCCAGTGCAGCGCCACACAGAAAAACTTTGCAGCCGCCACGGTCCTAAATTGCAGTGGAAGCTCTGTTGCTGCAGGTGGAACCCTTTAGGAGCTAAAGGCAACTGAAGGCTGACATCAAATCTCCAATTTTGAGCTTGACGCTCTTTTACCGACGGATCTAGACAATTTGATTGAGCCAATCAGAGCCTTGAAACAACGCTGTAGACCCTCAAGTCGAAAGCAGGCCTTCACGCTTCTTAGTTTTTGGGAGATTTAGGTGGCCCAGCTTGGGAATGATCTAGCCGCTGGCCTTGTCTGTACAGGTGCATCTCGGGATGATCTTGCTCTTAGAAGCTGAATAACGGAGGCTCGACAGTCACGATGGCCTGCGACTAGGGGCCAAGATGCGGCAGCTGCTGCGTCGAAGGCAGTTTCCTTCCAACTCGTTAGTGTGCAGCAACCCTACGCACGGAAATCCTCGGAGTTACCTTCAAGCTTCAAACCCCCCAACTTACAAACCCTAAGCAGCCACACCTGCCACGGGCTTTTGGAGCGCTCCGCAGCTTCCAGCGCACTACCAGGGGCTGCCACTGAGGTCACCGCGCGGATTCGAAGCTGCCCTCGATAGATGCCTGACAAAGTTTGGTGTGATAAATTATGCTCAAAAAGACGTTGCGGCAGTCTTGCTCAAGTTGCTCAATGCATTGGTACCAATCTTTCCAGAGCTAAGATCTGTCTCTGCCGGTGCTTTCTGCTGCAGGTCTCGCGGTGCCTAAAGGCCACTTCAACATACTTCAACCCACATAGACACAAGCCTTCCACAACGACCATGGGAAGCGCCCACAGTCTTTCCAGTGGCGGCGGAAAACTGGAAGCAGAGGCTTGCTCTGTCCTTGGTTCGAGCACGTCAGAGTCGGGGTAGAGTAGGGTGCACTAGACTCAGTAGACATGCCTACGCAGCACAAACTGCGGCTGCCAAACCTCGGACTTGGTTCGAGGTCCTTCGGCAGGAAGGACAGATAGCCTTGAATGCGATAGGCCTCTCCAGCAAGGAGCAGTTGCAAGCGATACCGATCGGAACGATGTAACTACTGCTGTGCGTTTATTGACTCTTCATAAACCACATCTTGCCACCTACGATTGATGACAATGCTAGGGTCATTGAGCCTAGAGTGGCAACAACAATGGTAATGGTCAGAAACCTACTCTCACTCAGCTTGCACCTGCCCCGAGTCCAAGAGGAGCTGCAGCATGGCCAAGGCGGCGTCAAGGCAGACGCCTCCCCTGCAGCAACACCCGAGGTCTGAATCCAAACCATCTGAACTCCAAGCCTTGAGGACGCAGGCAAGTCGCTAAAACTGATGTTGCTCGAGCACGCAAGCAGATGCTTCTGGCCTTAGGGCCTTAGGTCCTTAAGTCCTTAGGTCCTTTGCCAGGCCTCGGTCTCACGAGGCAGGCAGTGCTGCAGGCGGCATCGTGTCCGGGGCCGGGCCCGAAGCGCAACCTTCGAACACAGTGCAAGGCTCTGCACATTCCCTGAAGGCAAAAAGCCTGTGACCTACACTCATACCTGCATATCTCGGCTCAGTCTTGGTCTCATGCCTTACTGATGCAGGCACTGATGCCAGCTTTTCCGATCTGTCGGCACAGAGACAGCAAAGCCAATCTTGCACTGAGCTGCATGAAATTCGAAGGGGGCACGGCAGCAGAGTTAGCCACCTGAAGGGGTCATAGCTTTCACAATGCTCGAAGATATCAACATGCTGTTGGAGGATCCGTGACACATCGATAGCCAATCATGACCCGACCTGGCTGCAGAGCACCAAGAACTCAGACTCAGAGCCATTCCACCCCGAAGCCTGAACTGTGACCTGCTTCGAATTTCGTCCTCGAGGGCTCGTCTTTATGTCTCTGTCGCAAGTTTCACCACCTGTCGATGAACATTCAGATTTGAGAATCACCATCATACAACCAAGGATGCCCCCTCAAACATCCCCGAAGTTTCCTTCCGCCCTGCAGCACCTCGGAAGGCCCTCGACGTCGAGAAACTGCATTGACCGCCGTGAGTCCCCGATGCCTCTGATACGCAGTTCTAAAGGCAAGGATCTTACTCTGGAAGGCTTCCCCGCCCCGAACTGTGACCGGCAGACATTGAGGCAGACAAGAGTCCCCAGCTTGCAAAAGCTGCAAGGCCCCAGAATTTCTGGAGCATGGTCATCAGAGTGCTGCAACAGCAGATCTCGCACTCCATGAGCTTGAGCCTCTTTGGACTCTCGCGCATGCCTCGTATCTTCTTAAACATCAGACTGGACCTGCACTCTGCTAAAACGTGCTTTGATTGATTCTGCTTTGGACCTTAGCAGAACATAAAGCTGCGTGCCATGGAACTGTTCAAGCTCATCCACGTGGTTGAGGACGAGCACGTCGGCGCATCTAATTTGGGCAGCGCCTCTAGATCCTGCCACAAGAGCGGAGTGGCGAAGCTTGATGCTGGCTTCGTGTCACGCTATATCCCCTCAAAGCTTGCTTCGCTTCATTGCATGACCAGCTCCATGATGCAGCTCTTCGCCGTGCATGCTGTGCTGAAGCTGAGGTCCTGCGCCTGGAGAGCCTGCATCCTGCATGAGGAAGTGCAAGAATGTGTGCATGCTGTGATGTTTCTGATCCTACTATCTTCGTAGATTGCGACTCTTGAAAACGCGACCGTGCAACAGGCTGCAACCGTGGCTGCACAGTCTTTGAACGTGCTCACTGCATGGACTTGGAGCCGTCAGCATGTTGACATGTTGAGGATCATCCGAAGATCTCCTTTGGCTCGTTCAGGATATTCCGAATGCGCTGCAGGTCCACAACGCAAACGACCGCTTCCATTGCAAAGTACTGCGCAAAGTGTTCCTTCGAGCCAGATGATGAAAGACATGTGTCAGGATATGTCAGATTCGGCCAAACCCTCACTAGTCCATTTTGTGCTGCGGGGTGGCGTTTTCAAACACTCGGACAAATGGCTGAGGATCTGCGACTCCGGTTGTCTCCTGAAGCAACAGCCAACCCCATCGGGATGAAGGTGCAGACATCCAGCATGCAACGGTCTGTGGTCATGCAGCCAGGAAACTATAAAAAGATGAGTCAGCTGCAACCTGGAGCGCACAGTAGTATTTAATTTTTTCCCGGCGAATCCTTGTTTTCGCTTTGCTGCCTAGTCAAGACAAGTGGCTCAGATTGTCGGGAGCACAGGTCCTTCAGCAATCGCGATAGGTCCCCGTCCGGGGAGCAGCAGAGGCATCCTTCACTTTTCAATTCTAAGGACGTGGCACTGCCGTCAGCACACAACCAAGCTTTCTCGGGACAGGTCCTGAACCGAAGTCGAAAACCTCTGAGTAGTGCACGCAAGGCCTTCAGAGAGCCAAAATTGAAGGACTCGAGGAAGGCATGGGACCGAGTCTGCTTTGGAATTCTACACTAGGGTCCACGCAGCGTGCCCTCTGTCAGCGCCGAAGTCTCCTGAACCCGCCATGTAAACGGGTGCACTGTGAACAAGTCTGCGAGCAAAGGAACATGCGATTGATTTCTTGAGTGTAAACACCTGTCAAATGCTACCATTCCCCTTTGACTTTGGATGGCCGTCGCTGTGCGTTGATATTCCGAACTGAGGTGCTGACCAGACCAAAGGCACGTGCATGGCGATGAATGCAAACCTCAACTCTTGGATCTCGTGCGGTGAGCGCGGCAGCTCGAGAGGAGGTGGGTCCTTTTGTTTTCTTTGCTTCAAAGCGTCGGCAGCACGCGTTGTGCCAACTGAAAGCAGCTCCCGCAGCAGCGTGGTTTTTCCACACCCGGGAAGGCCGGTGACCAGCACTGCAGAGGCCACCATCGCAAAGATCACTGCGATGTCTTAACAGACACACTCACGTCAAGGCTGTGCTGCCGGATTCCGGATTCCTACTCGTACCTCTGTCTCTGAAAATATGCCAGGCTCCCGAATCGTAAAAGGATGCTTGTTGGGCTGGGCCGCTTCCTTCATCTGCTTTTTCGCTCTACACGCTGTCGAGCCGATGATCGCTGCCAAGATGGCAAACTGAACCCATGACACCATCGAAGCTACAGAAGTCCTTTCGAACCACCAAGAGCATCGTAAGATGTCGTAGGCTTTGCGCCTTCTCCACGGCAGAGCCCTCTCCAATGACTTCCTAGCACTTTTTGCAGACTTACGGGTTCACGTTCATATTGCTGAAAACTGGCGTCTGTCAAAAGCAAGCGATCTCTGCTTCAAAGCTGCGCTTGCATAGCTTCCAGGCCGCACATAGATGACCCTCAGTAGACAATGGAGATGCAACGCAGCTTCAGGGTGCAAAAAGGGTGGTGAAGCCTTTCTGGGCCACTGACATGAGCCTTGGCTCGGAGGCTTTGTCTGGGAGGAGCCAGCGAGAAATGCGTGGAGAGCCAGTCCTGGCCAAGGCCTTGCGAGCAACCGGACCGCTAGGACGGCGGGACCAGGACTTTTGAGCTGCCGAGCGAGTGCACTGCTGCTCTATGCTCTCGCTTTGCCTCCCCGACATGGTTCTGGGTCATTGACATGACCTCAGCTGAGAAATTTAGCTACTTTGGAACCAACGGGGACAGGACCCGCCGCCATCCATCGCTTCCAGTGGTGCAGTCAAAGGACGCCGATGTCTCCAAAGATTTCCTGGGGCTGGCTTCTTTTCTGGCTTCGCTGTCAGATTCCCCAAAATCCGGCTAGCATGAGCTTGAATTCATGAAGCCATGCTGTTCGATAAGACTGCAGTGTTGTCGACCACATGCTTGTCATTCCTCTCAGCGCATGCCGGTTGTGCAATAGCAGCGTGTCCTGATTACAGACCGTTGGCGAAGCAAGCACACCTGTACAGAATTACCGGGGCACCCGGCATACTGCTGCGTCAGCCCCTCGGTCACTGGCTCGTCGACATATCTGATGCCCTGAAGTTTGCACCACGCACCAGGCAGAGGCGTCTGCACTTGTGCAAGTGGCCTTGCCTTGTCGAAATCAGGTGTCCTTATGGTGCTCACCTGCAAAACGTATCGGGAGCGAAACACCAAAGGGACGCCAGCGCTGAATGCCAAGCCTTGTGTAGACGCTTTGTGCCCCTGAAGCAAGTCTCGAAAGACACCTTGTCGTAGAGACATCGACAACCATCAACGCGCATACACATGCAACCGCCTCTGCTTCCAAGTCTGGTTGGATGAAGAAGAGGTCGTCTAAGGCAGCCTGATCGGCTTCGAGCAATGCATAGTCGCAGGACATGCGCTTGCTGCGTACCTTGCCCAACATAAGCTCCTTGATGTCGGCTTTGCCAAACCCATCCAGGGCCTTTCCGTTGACCTCGAGCTCGAGCTGTTACTGGTAGCTGGTGGCTTGCTGCACAGCGTTTATCATCCAGCAGCACCAGCACCAGATTCCAGCCTTACCAACCCTCCCACCCCTACACCCCGACCACCTCTAAGCAGCAATCATGTCGCACGGAGCGGGCAAACTAAGAACTTCGCTGCCACCAGCATGCTGCCAGGCCGGATTTCCGGCTGTGCCTGATCCGACGGGTTTTTCCCACATCCATGTGTTCAGGCATGGGGCCCGGACCTTGCTCATGAAGCCATCCTGTCGAACACGGCCGATGTACACGCCCTCCTCAAAAAGGTTGCTTTACTGCGCTGCATTCAGATGGGCGCCCACTATATCATGCATGGCGCAGCACAGGTTGCCCATTCAGTGATTCAGGTCCTTGCAGCCCGCAGTAAAATTGTACAGGGCCTCTCAGCGCCCAAGCGAAGGCCACCCATTCTCGTGAGCTTCACAGCTGCACGCCTGGTTCGGATGCACCGTGGTGAGGCCGTGCCCAGGTGTTCGAAAGCCTCGGTTTTCGGCTGGAGCCCAACGAACCAAAATGCCACACACTTCCATCCCCCTGGCCACACTAAACTGACAAAGACACTTCTCAGTGCACGAGGCTTCAGATCTGACAAGATTGTTTCTCTCGCAGTTACAGCCAAGACAATTTAAGGCAGTAGCCCAAGCGACGCCACGGAGCTCCTAGCTGCTCCTGAAAGCAACCAGGCAGATTTTTCAGGCGCTGCTATGCGCTGCTCTTCGATGTCGGACCAATTATCTGACCGCGGTGTTAGAGTTAGCAGAATCTCAAAGTATTTTAACCCATCCAAGCTCGGAGGCCTGCCGAAAACACAAACAGCAAGCCCACCATGCACGACCTAGCTGAAATATTGGCCCCAAAAATCACACTGGAAGTTTGCATGGCTCCCGAACACAGGACTGCTTCAGACAGGTGTAGCCATAAGTCATCAAATCCACCGTGGTTACTTGGTTGCACAAAAATTTCCAAGTACTGTACTGCCTTTCAGACGGATCCCGAAACGATCTGATTCCGGTGGTGATGATACATGGAAGGGGTCAACTTGTCCGATCCTTGAGGTGCAGGTTGACGAGCGCCTGGCATTTTGGGCTGCAAAGGGCAGACATCTGGCTGGAGTCACTGCAGCCTGAACCCGGAAGGCAGGGATCACATAATTGATATTCTCACCTCCAGCCAACAGAGTCGAGATTTGGTCCCAAAGCGATTCCGAGCTTTAGCTCCACACCTCGAGTAGCGCCTGCGAAGTTCACACCAAGAACCTGCAGACAAGCCCGCAACATTGGAGCTTGCGAGTGAATCCGCAGCCGCGACCAAAAACCCTTCAACCTGCAGTGTCTGTGCCTCTGAACCAGCATCATCCAAGAGAGGGCCGCCGCCTTATCGCCAAGTACAAGCAAGCGGGCAATGCTACCGCAGTGTATGCGTATCGTGCATAAGCGCTTTCCTTACGTACAATATACGCGAGCGTGCTTCTGGGAGGCTGGCTGTTTCCTGGCGAAATTGGAGCAGTGGACCTGACAACAACCCCAAACTGGATTGTGTTTTCGTTCCAGGTTGACACCTGCAGAAAGAGCCCCTGTTTTGCTTCTGAGGCAAAGGCTGGATGCAAAGGTTGCTGTTGACGAACTCATTTCCAGCGACGTTGCCTGCACAGTAGGGAAACCAGAAAATGATGACCCCGGCTTCGGCACGTCAGGTGCACGAAACAACTCGGAAAGCAAGTTCCACAACTCACGGGAGGTTCGGAACAAAACGGCTGGCTTGGGTGGCCAAAGAGGGAATTTACAGACGTTATCAAGTATGCCTGACCCCGAGAAGCTGTATTCATGCTCGGCTGCAAATCACAGATCCAAGCACTTCTTAAGCCCTGTTTATTTACTGTTTATTGAGAATAAGAGGTATTGGTGGCTAGGACGATTATGGCCTAGGGCAGTCATGGCCCAAAACCGACAAAACCACAAGAGAATCATCAACAACGCTGCCTTGGCAAGAATGCTGCGGACACCTCCATTACGCTATCTGCACCCGTCCCGGCCTTTCGAAATCTTCAGGGAGTTCTGGCCAAGGGGGAAGCCCAATGCCACCACATCCTGACCCATTTCAGCGACCTTCTTTGACCTTCGCAACTGAGGTTTGCTGCTCTTCCACAATTTCAACTGAGAAGCTAAACCCGTCTGGAAACTCCGCTGAGAAACAACTACTGAACTCGTGATCCGGTTACATTCCTCCTTGTGACGTCGTTGAGCACGTCAATCAATTGACAAGGTCTGCACTGCGACTGAGTCCACGGCAAGGTCAAGGCCTCGAGTTGGATTCCTGCCTTGGCCAGGTCGGCTTTGAACTCCTGCCGCAGGCAATTGAAACGCACTCGCAATCGAAAGCATGATTGACCACCACCACAACCACCACCACCGCCACCACCACCACCACGACTTCAATTACTTCTACTTCTACTTCTACT